TCTTTTTTTATTATTATTTAAATATTTCGGCGAGAAGCACGCCCGCCTTTCTCAATACATACCACTATATAGTTGTGACAAGATAATATCTTAGATACAATATGTAAATATAATGATTTGCACAAATTGTTTATTGTCTATATAAAGGAAGTAAAATTAACATACGCGATCTTACAGGTTAAATTTTAAGTTTAATTAAACATCAACTATTCCATAAAGAAACAGATATACACACACAAAAAAAAAAACCTTTATTAAGACACACTGGTCTTACAGAGGATTCTCCTTGGGGTTACAAGACGGAGAAACCCATGAAAGTGGGAAATATACAAAGGGGTAAAAATGGAGAAAGATTATATACACATGGTAAATATATACAGATTATTATTTGAATGATCCTATGGAAAATAAGAATATGGATTTGGAAATATGGATGGAAGAAGTGGAAAGCGAAAAGAGGGGGAAAAATAGGTATTTACATATGGAACATACATATAATGGAACAGTCAATTTAAGCTCTTCTGCTCACACAGCACAGGTGGACCATGGCTTTTTTCAAGAAATCTTTAAGAGATTTTCCAGGAAAATCCGAGTGTTCAGAGTTGTAAGGTAAACACCGTTTTAGAATACATATATTAAAATATATATATATATATATATATATATATATATATATATATATATATTAAAATATAGTAAACATATCACTCACTGATGGGGTTGGATTTGTACAAGAATCGAATGGGCATATTGAACGAATTTATTATATAAAAAAAAAAAAACTACAATGTGAGGGTTTTGAACTATTAATTATTGTTTTCCGAAAAGGGTATTTTAGACTACTAGACCATAGAGATTGAAGAGAATGAAAAATAGTGACACATAAAAAATATTTTTATTCAGACATCTCATGTTATATAGGCTCATCCTAGAGTCTAAAGAGTAAAAAAAAAAAGCAAAAAATTGTATTTGCATCATTATATATATAAGTAATCAGTTAAAAAAAAACGGTTTTGATGTTGATTTATAACAATCATTGAGTGTCTTTTTAGTCATTTTCTCCATTTCGTTTTTTTTTAATCAAAATTCTTATATCATCAAATATTATCTCTACAGACCTTACTGCAATGATATGAATTATTGAATGAGAGGGCTTGGCTCATCAGTAGTGAACATTCAATAACTCATATCATTGCAGTAAGGTCTGTAGAGATAATATTTGATGATATTTTAAAAGAAACGCATTGCCAGTAAATTTATTTGTGTAAAATTTTAACGATAGATGGCAATAAAATTTAATTTACCAAAACTCTTATCTTTTTTTTTTTTTTTTGCCTAGAACTTGTGGTACAAGTTGTCAAATCTCTCAAATGGACAGTGAATCAGGAAATAAATCGTGTATAGACTTCAATATCTGTTCCACCAGATGGCGCTCTGCCTTCTGTAAAGCACATGTGCTCCTGGTCAGGATATGCCATTTTTAATATAGACTTCAATTTGTAACGTTTAATAAACACGTGACATAACTAATTGGAAGATTAGAAAGTCTTCAGTCATAAAATAAGTGTTTTTTTTTTTCTATTATAAAAAGAAACTGGTGAGACTTGGAATGAGGAAAAAAAGAAAGAAGAACAATTAGACAACCCTACAGTGAGATGACGGGATAACTCTGTGTTTTCAGTTCATTGTGGGGAAGGGAAACTGGAGAACCCTACAAACCAGTTTCCAGCAAGGACAACGCAGCAAGGAAAACCTCCTAAAGAACTTGGAAAAGAAGATGCTCTCCTTTAACGACGAGAGCAAGGCGAACAGAACACCCTATCCTAAGACCATTCTCATGAACATCGAACAGGCTATGGATCTCGTGCATTTTGCTGCCAAAGGTACGTGAATTCTCTTTATTCAATACAACAGCATTGGTATCTTACCTACGGTTCTGTTTGCTACAGTGGAACTTCTCAAACTCCTGAGAAGTTACAAGGTTACGGAAAAGGTAAGTTGCCTATCTCTCTCTTTTTTTTTCATCTTTATTATATATATTTTTTTAAATTACTTCTAATATACATGGTACAAGATCATTATAATTATGATGGATGGGAAGGTTTGTGACTGCTTATACTGTAAGCACACACACACACACACACACACACACACACATCACATGTCTTTAGTGGTAGAATCGGTTCAAATCTTAAAACTATTTTTTGTTATCTCTATAGTACACATCGTAGTCATAGTGGGAAGTAGTTAGGGGCTGCTAGTGCACCACAAGTCGCAGCTTGTACCTAAGATCACTTTTTTTTTAACATTACATCAATCTCAATACCGCGAGGTTCAATAACTTATGAACTCAACGGTTATAACGAGTCATTCGGTAATTATTCAAAATGTCCGTATTCTATGCAAATTCTAAAAGTGGGCGCGTGTGGCGACAGTGTTTCTGGAAGGGCGAGGGCTGTCCCCGCACCAGGAAGCTGGAGCGGGCTCTGCACCGCGACCTCCGAGAGGCCGTGGACGTCTTCCAGACGCATTACGTCCCGCAGGCTTTCTCCTGGAGGATCCAGCATGACCTCCACGTGCCCTCCTTCTCCTACGTTACCATCACCAACTTCGAGTCGGTGAGTGCCACACTCTTTTCTCAGCGTGTGGTCAGAGTGGTTTTACTTTGTCTCCAGTAGTGTCTCCAGGTTACTGAATGTATGTCCCTTTTTTTGGTGTTCTTCTAACATCAGGTCCATTGTCGACAGTAGTTCCTCCTTTCTTTGGTGTTCTTCTAACATCAGGTCCATTGTCGATAATAGTTCTTCATTTTATCTATTTTATCTCATCGCTCTTAAGTAAAATGTGTCATTTCTTTGCAGTATATAATCGTCTCTTTAAAGAGCCCACAGATACTACTCAGAAACTCCAACTCTCTCAAACCTCCATTATACCCCATCTTTTCTTCCTTCCTTCTCACTTGGAATCAATCTCATCAAGGTATGTGTCTTGTAGGAATCCATGGTGGGAACCTCGCCTTCGGAGAACTCCATGGTCGAAGGAAAGTTCGAAGCAACCAGGACCGGATTGTACAGCTTCTCCTTCGAGTGCCTGGTAGAGATCACCAAGGATGAAGAAGAGTCCATTGGAGATGACGATGCAATAAGCGCCTTCATCTGTCCCAACGGTTGCTGCGCTCAGAGGTACGTATCATCTTCCCTAACTTATTCTCTTGATCTTCATGGAGACACACAATATGCGCACAATCTTGTTAAATACTCCATATTCTGATACACTTTATTAATCTGGTATATTACCAGATATCGTTAAAAAATACCTAATGATGGGGATAGAAAAACTAATTATAGTATTATCCCCATAGCATTTAATATAGCACATACTACAGCGAGACACTTCTAAAACTCTTTTTTTATTATTATTATTTTTTTTTTTAAAGATCGATTTTTTTTTCATTTTAAGAAGTGTTGAATAGAGATATTTTTTTTTAAATATAAAATAAGATTATCACTTTGATTTAGATATCTTCGAGTTGCTTTGTCGCATGTGATTTCTATATTGTCGCGATCAGTAATGGCGAAAGATAAGTTCCCGATTCTTTAGAGCTGATTTTATCTTATTTATACCTTCTTTCTCAGATTCTGGGGCAAATCAATGTAATCTACCTATTCATTTAATAGAAAAGAAATCACAAGACAGGTAAAAGACTTTCTTACATTTCTAAACGGTTGTATAAGCTTTCAGACAACACGTTCTTTTACAGGTTCAAAATCACTTTATTAGGTACCGCTCAAGAAGAGCATCTTAGTTTATGATAATTGAAACAATGAATAATATGTGAAGGACATATTAAACAAAATGTTAACGCGGGATTCAATCCCGGTTCATGGCTGTCGGGAATCGAGGGTGTTACCCACTCGTCCACCGACTTTTTGTATATTCTTCAACAGTTACAATATATCCTCTATATCCGGAATATATTGCTCCTGATGAAGGCGACTTGCCCGAAAGCTTGTACAAACGGTTTAAATAAATGAATGAAACTCCTGTCTTCTTGTCATTTCTAATAAGACGAAATGTCTTAATAAAAAAATCTGTTGAATATTTGCATACTTATCAATATAATATAATGCGGCTTTTGATTGTGAAACGACATTTGAAAATTTCAGGCAAGTGTTTCTTTTCAACGAAAAATCAAAATTTATTTTTAAGGGGAGAAATAACGATTATTTCTAACCTTAGGGATGAGATATGAAAGGATGAATTGTGAAGAGTAATGATAAACGGAAAAATAAAGTGTTGTTATTACTCCTTAAAATAAATTTTGATTTTTCGTTGAAAAGAAACACTTGCGTGAAAATACTTATCAATACTTATTTAACCGTTACAACATTGGGACAACTTTGGATTAAATCGCTATGTTAATTATATGGCCTTTTTTTTCGCCTTTTTTTTTCGTTTTTTTTTAACCAAATAATATCGATAATTTGGCGAACTGCTGAAAAAGTTTATTGTAACATATACGTACACGCCTTCCAAACTTCCGTTTTTTTTTTTTAAGATTTGTAGAGATTTGTATATGCTACGACTATGCAAATTTATATTTATATATATAACAGATTTTTTTTTTTAATTTCTAACTAAGGATAAAATTGTTTCAAATAGCTTTGATCATCGCTGCTATTTTTATAGGACTATTTTTTAAATATCATCTCTATGATTATATTACAATTAATAATTTTTGACCAAACGACCATCTAATTTTTTTGTTCTTTCAGGCCCTACGAGATTGAATACCCACCCGATTCAGACCCCCATAAGGATGATTCTGAAAAGTAAGTACCTTTTTTGTAGCTAAATACTTATCTTTATATATTTTAGTACAGTATATATTAGAGAAATATTATAATGTAGATTTGTAGAAGAAAGATCTTAATACATAATTGTAGCGTTGTAATAGAGAAGCATAAATTCTGATCAAACAACACTCTCCCTATCTTAGATCCAGGGTAGCCTAGTGGACATGGCATCTGCCCGGTAAGCGGAACACTGTGGGTTCGATTCCCATCCCTTGGACACTTTTATTTTTCCGTTTATCATTACTCTTCACAATTCATCCTTTCATACCTCATCCAAAAGGTTAGAAATAATCGTTATTTCTCCTTGAAATAAATTTTGAATTTTCGTTGAAAAGAAACACATGCGGGATAGTATTTCAAATGTCGTTTTATAATCAATCGTTTTATTCTCCTATCTTAGATATATAAAGCATTACACAAATAAGAATTTCTAGAGATTTTAAAGAATCTAGAGGAATATCTTAAAAAAGTATGTTATGTGTATATCAGAAGATACTATATACATATTGTAACATGCTTTGTATTATGTAAAATATGTAATTATTCTTTGATTTTTTTCTTTATAGTTAGGCAGTCGGTAGCACTGTACTTTTCTTTCTCAACAACAACAAAAAGCCTTTATTCAGGGTCACTGACCCTATACAGGATTCACCAGAGGTATGCATAAGAAAAAAGCAGTGAGACAAAGGAAATAACGATATATACAGAAGAAAAAGAAAAAAAAAACAAGAAAGAGAAAGAGGGAAGCAAGAAAAACAACACAAAAAGAGTAGCAGTAAGAAAGTGAGGAGTGAGTGTCACTTGGCCTTCTTCTGAGATATGGACTTTTGGAAACCATAAAACGCCGTAGCAATATACTTATTCTGGGTCATATTGTCAATTATTGGTGGCTTTTCTTTCTCTAATTTTGCATATTTTTTATTTATATATTAGGGTAAAAAAAACCTTGTTGTAATTAAATATTAAAACACAAAGTATATATATCCCTTATTTCTAAATAGGAAACGTTACATATATAAGCTACATAAAGAGCTATAAAACACAATGGTTTACTTTGTGTTCAAACTGGCCCAATGGTCCCCGTTATAATTTCTAGAGATTTTTGCTATTCTAGAAGATAATCTAAAAAAGTATGTATAAGCACAATACACTATATACATATAAGAAATTTACAGAAGAACTGTAAAATATAAAGGTTTACTTTGTGTTCAAACTGGCCCAATGTTCCACGTAATAATTTCTAGAGGTTAATCTAAAAAGCACAATACACTTATATATATATATAAGAAATTTACAGAAGAACTGTAAAACATAAAAGGTTGTGTTTTTACAGTTTTTTTTTTTTTTTTTGCTTTTCCCTAGTACACGTGGTACAGGCCATGATGATAATTATGGTGGGTAGAAGTAGGCGACTGCTTTTACTGTAAGTGCACCACATGTCTACACATGTGAAAAGCAGTTCGACGTTGCACTTACAAATATGCCAGAGCCCCTTTTGGTTACTTGCACTCTCTGGTGGGGTTGGACTTTTTCAAGAATCGGGTCCATTGGAGCATTTTTAAAATTTTATTTTATTAGAAAAAAGTGCCTAATGCGGGAATCGAACCCGGATCATAGCGGTCGAGAACCAACAGTTTAGACCATCCTTCCACCGACCCCCGTGTTTAATGTGTTAAATATTAAAACACACAATGTATTGTGACTATTCCTTATTTCTAAATAGGAAACGTTATAAATATAAACTACAGAAGAACTGTAAGGTTTACTATGTGATCCAATGGTCTATAGTAGCACTTGTCCAATCTTACTATGGTTTATTGTCCATGTCTAACTCCACTAAGTTGTTTCAGTAAAACCCTGGAAACAGACGTAATTCTCCAACCTGGCGAATATAGGATTGCCCTACGTGTCAGGGGGGCCTTGTACCTCAAGGTAAGTTTCCCCATTATCTCCCTTTTTCCCAGAGTCCCTCCCTCCCTCCTTTAATCCCACATACGGAACCTATATGTCAAGTTTAGGGCTTTCTCTCCCCTTCCTTCCCTGCCTTGGGAAGGATCATTTTTTCCCCCTTTGGAATTTTTTTTTTCCGTTTTTTTTTTTCTTTTTTTATACTCGCCAACATTTGACTTTATATATAGCGAGAGAGAGAGAGAGATTGGTAGCATATAATAGATGGGAGTCGTCTCCGAAGGATATAAAAAAAAAGAAACGTAATTATAAAACTTTATTTATTTCTTGATTTAAGACATCTTCTAATTATTTAATTTTATATTACACACACACAAAAACCTTTATTAAGACATACAGGTCTTACAGAGGATTCTCCTTGGGGTTACAAGACGGAGAAACCTATGAAAGTGGGAAATATACAAAGGGGTAAAAATGGAGAAAGATTATATATATACATGATAGATATATACAGATTATTATTTGAATGATCCTATGGAAAATATTTAATTTTATATTTTGAAAGATGATTGTCATCATTACATTGGAAATAAATAGCAGCTAGATCTTTAAATAGCTTCCAAATATTGACCAGAAAAAAATATTTTTCTTCCTGATAAAAACAAGAAAAGTCATTATTATAAACGTGCTTCGGGGTGTTTGGTCCTAATCATTGCGATGTAGTTTGATTTAACAAAGAAAAAAAAAAGGTTTTTCAGTAATAGTTAAAAAAAAAAAAAACTTCATTTGATATTTCCCCGATAGATGGCAGTGGTAATCTTGGAAATGTCTCTACATTAACACTTTGCATATCCCCCCCCCCCCCCCTTACTAAAATATCATCATAGTGTTTACTATCATTGGAAAAAAAAGTAAAACTCTTTGTAAAGTAAAATTTCAAAAGCCTTACTCTAATGAGAAGAGGGAAATAGTATTATTTTAAATATTTTACACAAATAAATTTACTGCAATGCGCTTCTTTTAAATATCATCAAATATTATCTCTACAGACCTTACTGCAATGATATGAGTTATTGAATTAGAGGGCTTGGCTCATCAGTAGTGAACCCTCTCATTCAATAACTCATATCATTGCAGTAAGGTCTGTAGAGATAATATTTGATGATATTTAAAAGAAACGCATTGCCAGTAAATTTATTTGTGTAAAATTTTAACGATAGATGGCAATTAAATTTATAAATTATTATTTTTATTGAAATATTTTCATGACACCTTTAACAATTTTAACTAAAACAAAAGATATCGTTAAAATTTTGCCATTAAAATAATAAAAGCAGTGGTTTCCTTCAATTAAAACACTTTATAACTGAAAATATATTTTTTAATTCTCTCTCTCTCTCTCTCTCTCTCAATGCTCCAATTCCATTCTAGGAAATTTTTACTCTAGCAATTTCATCTAATTTCGTCATCCTTAAAGATTAAAAAAATATATAAAAAAAACTTTTTTTGAATGTACAACTTAAATTTGCTCATGGCTAGCACCATCTATTAGAATAAATATCCATAATTAGTTGATATTTATTCCGATAGATGGCGCAAGCCATCAGTAATTTTCAATTGTACGATTTCAGGAGTAGCGCTTTGATTTTCTTCATTTATCAACATGATCTCAGTACAATATCACTCTTGTACATTTTTTTCATCTTAATTATCACCATTTTTACATTAGGAGAACCTTTGATTTTTTCACTCTTTGTTTTAATATGTGAATAAACTTCACTATTGTTGCAAATATCATAAATAAGGTTCCTCTTTTTGAGCGGTACCTAATAAACATAAAAAAAAGTCGGTGGACGAGTGGGTAACACCCTCGATTCCCGACAATCATGAACCGGGATTTAATCCCGCATTTTGTTTAATATGTAAATAACCTTCACATATTATTCACTGTTTCAATTATCATAAACTAGGTTGCTCTTGTTGAGCGTTACCTAATAAAGTGATTTTTTGGGGAAACTGATTTTGTAACAAGAAGACAATAGCAAAAATACCATTTCTAAAGATAAAAAGCTAGCGAGATTCTTTATTAGAGATATAAAACTTGACGAGCTTTCAAACATTAACATCCTTTAACAGGCTGCAATACGATTATTCGTATACTCAGTTTCTTTTCTTCCTGACTAATTGTCCTTTTAGTAGCAAGGTCTTCTAGCCCCCATCATGGCAGCAGAACGCAACTTCCAGTGGCAAAGGATCCTAAGATCTGGTCAGCAGAGATGTCTCGCAGGGAAATTATTCGTTTACGATTTTCGTATTCGTATTATTGTCCGAAATCTCTTTCGTTAAGCTTATATCTCTTTAAATAAAGATAACTTAGTCACCAATAGTGTTTAAACTTTCTTAGAATTCTTTTCATTGTTATTCATTCATGATAAAATTGTGAAAAACATTTTAAAATTACAAAATATTTTCTCACAATGAGTTTATTTTTAAAGGTAAATATTTCTTGTAAGATATAGTCGATGTTTTTAATTAAGACCTTTGAAGAGCGATTATCGCTTGAAAACTAAGCATTTTGAAATAAAAATAAACTCTTGGAATGGGTACCATTCCAAGAGTCTAGCATCAGTATCACTATAAAAGTAAGTTCCAAAAATGCAATATAACAGCGATATAGTAGATTAAACTGGCTAGCCACTCTGATGCGCCACTCCCTCCTATTAATTTTTCCATTGCAGTAAGGGCAGTAGAAATTGTTTTTATTTTTTTAAAGAATAATACGCGCGTCTAAAATAGTTTCGTATTTTTGAAATAAAAAGAAACTCATTGTTAGAAAATATTTTGTAATTTTAAAAATTGTTGTTCATCCCACGCCAACCAGATTTATGTTTCCAGGAATCAGAATATGCCGCGGTGTATCTGAGGAACAAGTCAAATTTCGACATATTTGTCAAAGCAAACAGCACCACTTTCCTAGGTTACTTCGTGGGCAAGCTTTAAGAACACGATCCATAAATACCAAAAAAACTTCATTTCCTTTTTTTTTTTGTTATTGTTGTTTTTCTTTGACTAAGTATATTTGTTATCGCTTTATTTTTTTGAGTTATGTAACATCTTTGATATTGTTGAGATTTTTTTTTTGTTTCTTTTTTTTGTACATTATTTTTTTTTCCTTTTTTTTTTTTATCGTCTCATTGTATAGAATAAAATTGTTCTATAGTTTATAATGATGTGAATCTCAAAAAAAAAAAAATTTTTTTAGTTAGTTTTTTTTTGCCATTTTTTTAAGGCGCTGATTATATAGCGTTGT